CCTGACAGTATAGTTAACGCGTCACCACGTTCACCACTTGGCAGTTCTACCTTCTGCGATCTCTTGCACAGGTACGATTTAAATAACTCAAGAGCGGTGCCGCGAATACCGTAATGATACATTTTCGCAATTAAAGTGCTGTGATTTACGGTATCAAACGCCGCTGAAAAATCAATAAAGAGACCTGCAACTAACATACGACGATCCACAGCAGAAATTACTTCGGTCATAAAGTCATATAAAGCCGTATCGGTTGATCTATTTTTTATAAAGCCATGTTGAGCACTATTAACGATTTTAAACGTTGTTAGGTAGTTGGTAAGTTGTTTATTTATGACAGACTCAAAAACTTTGGAAAAACTTGATAAAAGGCTAATTGGCCTATAATTGCAAACGTTACCTGGATCGCCCTTTTTGTAAAGCGGTTTTACAACTGCTCCTTTCAAACGTTCAGGGTAAACACCAGATTGAAGTGTCAAGTTTATTATATAACATAACGGTTCAGCTATCAAACGGTTGACTAATTTTAATATATTATTGCTAATTTCATCTTCTCCGCACGATAATGAAGATTTCAATGAACAAATAATGGAGACTATATCCGTAGTGATAAGTGGAGTGAAAAACATTGAATGCGGGAGGGGTGAAGAAAGTGAGACATTTACATCATAAGATTTACTTTTGCGATCATAAAACCGTGTGAAATGAGAGGCAAACATATTAATCGCTTCCCAGTTAGGGACCTTTACTCCCTTTTTGAGAATTGTAATTTCCGTGGGTCTTCTTGACCTTCCATTTAAAGAATTAATGATATTCCATGTCATTTTCGGCTTGTTGGTTGCATTTTTCAACTTAGAGTCCAAATATCGTTTTTTTGTTATAACGAGCTGTTTCTGATAAAGCGAATGATATTCTTTAAACATATTTTTAAAGATGATATATTTTTCAGATAGGATCTTAAGGTCTATAACTTTTTGCTTAAGTTTATGCAGTTCGGGTGTTAACCAAGGAAGGGTGGTTGGTTTTTTTTGTTTATGTGGAAGTAGGGGAAAGTTTAAATTAAAATGATACATAAAAATATGGAAGAAATAATCAAAGGCTTGTTCGGAGTTTCTGGTAGTATAGACAACCTCCCAGTGCTCTAGTGAAAGATCATATTTAAATTGCTCTTTATTGGTATCTGAGAATACCCGACGCTTACGCCGAATTGGATGAATGTTTTCTAACTTACTCGGGCTTTCTATAGTCAATAGCTGACCATAGTGATCTGATACCCCCAGGTTGATATTATCTACATGGAAATTTAATGTGTGTGATATGAAAACATTATCTAGGCAGGATCGTTTGGAAGGAGTGACTCTGGTAGGTTCGTTAAGGCAATATATCTGGAAAGAATTTGCGTCACATCGCGTTTTTTATCGCCGATTACTAATTTGATTATTATTAAACTTAAAATTGCCAGACCGCTTAAAACAATCCCATGGATATTGTGTGCTCGTGATTAATTTAAATTGCTAAAAGAGTGTTCACATCTTGGAAGTAAGCAGTAGCGGGTGGAAAACCGGGCCCTAAGCAACTTCGAATATAGTAGGCTGGCGGAACGATGCATATTCGAAAACGAATATAATCTTTGACATGGAAGTCATCGTCGTTGCGTCTTTTAGACAATTCCAATTCAAAACTCTCCGATGATATTAAATATACGTTCATATACGCAAAGCTCTTGCGGAACTAGTAACTAGTAACGATTTACCCAATTTTGAAAACGGATGGGGCGCGTTTTCGCCAACCCAAAGGGCATTCTCAAATACTCGTAGTGGCCGTCTAAAGGCAGTTTTCGATATGGAATCGGCTACGCACAGGTAATGAACCCTAGCGAGATTCCAGACGGAAAAATATTTGCAATCTGGGTTAAGGTTTTCCAAAAAATATCGTCAGTTCTCAGCAATTTTCTGTTCTCCGGGGGAATAAGCGAAAGGGCGATACACCACCGGAAGCGTCATCTTTAATCTTTCGAATCGCATGTCACCACAACTATCGCCGCAGTGAATGAGTACGGACCAACTACGCCCAATTATAAAACGGTACGTTTATCAGCCCATCTGAAACTGCAAGTGCTTCCACCTTGGACTGGACTTCGTCCGGCGGTGGGACCATTCGTGAAGAATCTGGTTTTGCTTCTATTGTGGAACAACAAGTTGGAGTGGGTGTATCTGTATACGATGCCCTGGGACATGAAGTAACCTTTGTCTGCCCATTGGAGAAACCAGTCGTAGTTCCATTCTGAGTTTCAAAGTGATCGATTATTTTCTTTCGCGACCCCTACTCGTTGTTGGCAGTTCGGACATTGGCTGCGGATTACTCCAGCAGCGCCACATCCAAAACAGGCAACCGGTGTAGCGGTGGTTGCGTTACTTCTGTTCAGTTGTCCCGTGTGTGGCCTAGATATTTGCAGTAGACACAGCGGGGTTTCTTGGGAGGCGTTTTTTATCCTGTCTTGGGTTATGGGTGGCTGGTCGTCCTCTTCAACCTTATGAAGTTCTTCGAGGAGTCCCAGAAAGGATTTTTTGCGGATGAGGCGATGGAGGAGTCCGCAAGCCATGTAGTGTTGTAGTGTCTCGCTAATGTCCTGGTCGATACTTGCGAGTATGGCGCGTTTCTGGGCGATGAACAATTCCGTCGTCTGCGCCATCTCGTTCCGTTAGGGAGAGATCTCGGAAGAACTGGTACGACGGTTTCTTCTCGAGCAAGAGAGTGGCGTCCTTCCAGGAGATGGTGGACTTCTTCACTCCTTGCCACCAGGTTCGCAGAATTTAATTGAATTTGATTGATCCCGCGAATTAAATTATATCCGCGAATAATTCCGAAAAACCGCGACACTCCCCAAAATTATCCTCGGGCACGTTGATGAAACCGCTAATCAATTGAAATGACTTTGATTGGCACCACAAATTAAATTAAATCGCGAATGAAATTCATGATGGCGGAAAAAGTGACCCTCTGCTACTCGTGATCAAGGATTGAGTGTAACGCCAAAAGCTTTCCCTTCCAAATTGTGAGAGGAATTTATATAATGGCTATTAAAAGGCGTTATAATTTCACTCATTGCGCCTCTTCGCCACCTGCCCCCTTCTTTCAGGAATATTCATTTTTCTGTCAATTTTCTATGAATTTTGAGGATATATCTTCTGATAAGTTGTGCACTGTATCTCTTAATGTATCTAAGCAAAGTTGTCGGTCAGCTCTCCACATAGAAGGGAGAAGCTCAGCCTCGTTTTAAAAAAAAATCACGTTACCGCTCTTTCTCGAATTTAGGAAAAATTAGTTGTTCTCCCATTACCGCTTCTTCAATTTATTTTCATTGAAAGCTTTCGCCAGTTGCCAAATTAAGTTACTTACTCTCTCATTATCTCTCTCTCTTTCAAGCGCCAAGGCAAATAAAGTCGAGCTACTACACCGAACGCGTTAATTAATTATACTCCTCTCGAATGAAATAATTGATTTCGCTTCCTTTTAACGGGGAACGTTTCCGCTCTTTATTATAATTTAAATCGGACGCTTCTCGTCGTAATCGGATCAGTTTCGCAATTAAAAGCTCGCGATCGCCGTTGTACGAGTTGAAAAGAGTCGATCCCGAGCACGATGTAAATGCCACACCTAATCGTCGTACGATTCGAGAAGTTGTGAGAGCAAAGTTGTAATGGTCGAAAAAGTTTGAACTCGATTACATTCCTACGGGCGGCGTCTTTGTAATCATCTCCAATTAAGTGGCCGAAACGTTCGGATGGCCGGTGCTTTTTATCGAATCCATGCACGGAATGAGGCGTGAGTTGTACGAAATAGACAATTTTCTAGATTACGAATTATTAAATCCGGGACTAATCTTCGACCATCAGGATTATATCTTGAAAGTCCAAATTGCATTTTTGACGAGCGGTACTTCTATATGCACCCTGTGTGTGATCATGATCGTTAGCTATGCAATTTTCGAAACGCGTGGAAACGCAGGATTGTGGTGTCTCGTGCTTAGATCTGGAAAAAGATCTCTTAAATAATTTCTGAAATTCGCGTAGATGAGCCTTCGAGAGTAGGAAAAGCTTTTGAGTGAGATTTTCAGTACGACTGAGATTTGAATATACATAGAAAAAAATACACATTTCCAACCAGACGTCCAGACGTCAAAGTGTAATTTTATACACCAATTTTGTGTTGAATTAAACTTAAATCTTAGATGAGACAAGTGAAACTTCTTCTCACTCAATCTCAAAGGTTTATCTCCCGTCAGTCTCCAATAATTTGCTATCATAACTAAAACCGTTGTGCACCTGACAGCCTCGTTCTAAATTACACAAGTTTACTTCGGTTGCGTCTCGTTCAAATGTCTTTGAGGGAAACTCTCGGCAATTAATCATCACAAAAGCCTGCTCCGCGCGCGAATCGGCTGGGAAACCAATCAAACTTTCTTTTACAACGGCCCGCGATTCTTCGCATTTAATTAAGAGTGAAACGAGTAGTCCCCCTGCCTCAATTAGGGGCGACCGACGATATTAAATCGCAATTGAACCCCAATGAGGAGTATTAATCAAATGAAGTGGATTATTGGAACGTTGGATTACTCGAAATGTGCTGCGTTTAGTAAAAAAGTTGGTAATCCAAATCGCGTTTCCATTTAGACCACTTTCCTGGAGAATGAGGCGTATACGCATTTATTTTTGGGTCAATACAAGATAATCGCGTGAATGTTTAAAGCATGTACTTGTGTTCCATTAAAGCCTGTGTACATACATCGCTTGTAAATAATTAAATTTATATTACATTATAGATTGGACATTGGGGTAGCCGTATTTATTATTTATAAAATCGATAATTGCAAAGGTGCACCGTTGCAATTGGTTCATCGGTGGTTTACCGATCGCAATTATCCCTTTAATGTGGCTGCTAGTCGGTTAACGTCTGTGGGATTACTCGAGTTCAATCTACCCCCGTAGCAATTTGTGACGATGATTTTGAATTACTGCACATTTAGAATCGTTACAGTTGACCTACTTCAGGCGTTTCCAATTTTTGACGATTCGACATGCTGCGCAGCAGAATTAAACTACTTCGGTCTCGTGGTGAACTTGAGGTAAATTAGTTACGCGTGCCAAATCCAGGAAGGTGATTACCTGTCGCTAAGACGCACCGGGTCGCCTTTGACCCGGAGTTTCAGGGTTAAAACTTTGGGTTTCGGGTTTTATTCTGAAATATACGGAAAAATAAAACGTTTGGCAATGAAAAAAATGATTGCTGAACAATGACCACTCGACTATGATAATGTATTCCCTCCCTCCCCCCTCCCGCCTCTCTAACCTCTTGGATTTTTGGAACACACGTTTTTTACGAACGTTCAAAGAGGTCCATTAGTAAATATATTATTAAGATTACCACCTACCGTATACAGGGTGTTACTGGAGTGGAAATAAAATAGGTGGGTAGAACAAGGTGGTAGAACGGGGATCAGGGGTCGCAAACTTTATTTCGAAGCTACCCTTATAAATTTCCTTCAATTTTTCTAAAACCATAAGACGCCTTTAAATAGGATATGGGATATTATTGCCAGGAAAAAAGGTTTATGTATATACTCACTTGTAGAACTCGATTGTAGAAAGGATGTCGCATAACCGCCAACACGAACGTGACTGTTAAAAAGCACCATGTCACTTCGTCGATTTTTATGTATACATCGCCGTGAAAGCTCTTGTCGTGGTTGATTTCGTCGTTCTCGTCTTCGTCCAAGCCGGATTACTGCCTTCGTGGTTATCAATCTACAACCTACGTTTACTGACGTAAAAGTAATGAGTCAAATCTCAAATTTTAAGACAATAATACAATATTCAAAATAATATCACATCTTAAGTGAAGACAACTACCACCTGTAAGCGGGAAAAAATTCACTGTGGTACCAATCGCCTTACAGTCATCCCTTCTCATTTAAGGGTGCGAGTATGCTGATATAAAGGAACTAATCGGAAAAAGTAATATAATAAATAAAGTCATACTCGCGCTTGTAAGTGTCTCCTGTAAATAGCAAAAGACGGTCGCGAGTATGCCAATATAAAGGCGATAATAAACGAATAGTAATATTCAAGATAATATTCACACTTTTAAGAGAAAAAAAACTTACACAAAAGTGATCCACTTTTATAATAGATACTTGTTAATGAATAATTCAGCGGTAGGAATCTTTTAAAATAGAAATAAACTAACTTGGTAGACGAAAGTTTTTATAACGTCCATTTATGTTATACCCTAATGCGTAACGTGCCCTCTTTCCGAATAAACAAAACAGAACCTCTAGCTTACGATCTTATATTACAGTAATAATTTATGACGTGGGAAAAATTGCGCTTCTAGCTTCCTTGAGGAATGGATATTTAACTTGTAAAGAGAGCGTTTTAGAGCATACCTGTTTATAGTATAGTATAGTATAGTATATTATTACAGGCGAAAGATGTAGAAATGTGCTTTGTTAATTATATTCAGTCCGAATTCACTATAGGAATAATCCACTCAGAGCTGGGCAGTATTCGATTTTGTAAATACTTTTTAGTATTCAAATTCTTTAAAGTATTCAAATACTTTGTAATTAAATACTTTTATGGAAGCAGTATTTGTATTTGTAACTCAAATACTTTCACAAATATTTAGTATTCGAATACTTCGCAAAGTATTTGGATACTTCGTAAAGTATTCGAATACTTCGTAAGGTATTCGAATACTTCGCATAGTATTTGACCAAAAATCGACTGCACCAAAATTTCCCGGGAAAACACTTCTTATTAATTTTGGTGCGTAGAATCCAAAACAATTCGTACTTTTTCGATCAGACTTCTCAATCAAAAGTTATAGACTAGAAACCAATTCGAAAGAAAATTCAAAGGGCTGTAACTTTTGAACTAGTAGCCCAATCTTGGAACTGTTTGAAATTATGGATTCTACAGGCCACATTCTATAAGAAAATTTTTTTCCCGGGTCGATCTGAGCCAATTTTTTTTTCGGGCCTCAAAAAAAGGCAGTGTATAACCTTCCTTTTTTACCAAAAATCGACTACACCAAAATTTCTCGGGAAAACACTTTTTTCTTATTAATTTTGGTGCGTAGAATCCAAAACAATTCGTACTTTTTCGATTAGACTTCTCAATCAAAAGTTATGGACTAGAAACCAATTTCGAAAGAAAATTCAAAGGGCTGTAACTTTTGAACTAGTAGCCCAATCTTGGAACTGTTTGAAATTATGGATTCTACAGGCCACATTCTATAAGAAAAATTTTTTCCGGGTCGATCTGAGACAATTTTTTTTTCGGGGCTCAAAAAAAGGCAGTGTATAACCTTCCTTTTTTACCAAAAATCGACTACACCAAAATTTCTCGGGAAAACACTTTTTCTTATTAATTTTGGTGCGTAGAATCCAAAACAATTCGTACTTTTTCGATCAGACTTCTCAATCAAAAGTTATAGACTAGAAACCAATTTCGAAAAAAAATTCAAAGAGCTGTAACTTTTGAAATAGTAGCCCAATCTTGGAACTGTTTGAAATTATGGATTCTACAGGCCACATTCTATAAGAAATTTTATTGAGTATTTGATTACTTACTTTTTAAAGTATTTGAATACTTTTCAATGTATCTGTATCTAGTATTCGCTTGTGCTGGACTTAAAAGTATTTAGTATTCAAATACCTTTGATTTGTGTAAAGTATTTACTATTTACTTTTTGAAAGTATTCTGCCCAGCTCTGAATCCACTACAAAGTACATTCTTTTCAATTAGAATTAATTAATTGAATTAGAAATATAATATTCGCAGGTAGCTATAATCCTATATAAATCTGCGCGTGGTCTGATATGAATAAATGCAACAATTGGGGGTGTTGGTCAGGGGCGGACTTAATAAATTAAAGTTTATTAATTAAAGTCATGTTTTTATTAAAACGTTCCAAAGAAAGTTACGCTCGTTTTAGGTAAATTGGTTACTACGGCTCACAGTAAGGTTAAATGGTGCCTTAAATGTTGGTTCTGTGAGTAACAGACCTAGTGTGAACTACGCCCTTTATAATAAAGACATTATTATTCTGCTGTGGAGTCAATAGAATCTCATCTCCAACTTAGTTCTGTGGACCGCTGTTCATTTCAATCCCTAATGCCAGTTCGCGTTCTCGTAGTTAATGGATCCCGAGTACTGTCATTTATGCTTTCGCTCGTTAGAACGAAATTAAAAGGGCGCAGTCAACGAAAAAGATCTCCCTTTTCGGTCCCACACTTATCGGTAAATGACGGTTGAACTTGTTGGGTGCTTGAAGGTCTCAATGTCCTCGGGGATTTTTCTGTGGCACAAGAAGAGACTTTGCTTCTTAAAACGAAATAATGTGACTGTTTTGAAGAGAATGTTCAGCAACCGCGGACATTGACACGGTCTGATCCCGTGATGTAACAAAATTACCATGAGATAAGCACACGGTAAGCTCAGAGGAAGTAGAGGTGGGTCGGGGTTCTTGTACACTACCCAAAACGGAGCAAAAGGTAATAATTTTAAACCGGATAGGCATCACTAAGTCTCTAGTAGATTGCGATATTACTGTCTAACGTTTGACACTCGGGTACGCGTATACTACAAACTGTAATTAACACTCAATAAGGACAATTTACGCTAGCAAAATTTTGACTCGACCACGAATTGTCCGTGCAAATCGGTGATATATATAAAAGCTTAAACGTCACGCAATTTCTGCGTAATAACACAAGTAACGTATACAAAAATTGTAGATATCGGTTGCGGAATAGGTCTCGGATCTAATTTACATTGCATTGTTTTGTAGGTTTAATTGGTTTTAATTTACTATTAAGTCTTGGGGGTGGTTTAGTATAATTAAACTTTGGCGAATTTTCGTCAACTTTTGTTTGTTGCTGGCAGGATGAAAGGTGAAACTTCAAGACTAATTTGTTGTTGTTGTTGATTGCACTGAAAAGAAAGTAACTTTTCGCCCTGACACGTAAGTAGTAAAGAGTTAGCGCATTATTTCTAATAAAGTTTTTAGGTCGAATTTGAAACGCCATTAATCTAAAACAAAGCTAGATTTATACAGCGCGCAATTTATAACAATTCCATATGTACTTTTCAAATTAAGATAATAACCCATTTTTCTCCTTTTTTTGCAGGGTACGAGTGGAATACTACGTCAATGAAAATACATTTAAGGAACGACTGCAACTTTACTTTATTAAGAATCAAAGATCTAGTAAGTACCTAATAAAGCCGTTCGAAAATCGCATGTCTAAAGTGCCTCTCGCTAGGTCAACAACCAAAACGCTTCCTTTTCATTTATCAAGATTATCGAACAACCCCTTTGTTGCGGAAAAGTTGGCTTTCGAAATGGGAAAAATTGACGCGCGGTTAACTTGTAGGGGGCGGCTGCGGTTTTTTATTTATCTCCCTAAATCTCGTTGATATTTATCGAAGGTCGGTTACCGTTGTTTAGTGTCCGGAAGACACGTCGAATACGCGCTATACAGTAAATCTAGGTGGAACCCTAATAAATTCGAGCGGAAAGTTTTCGGATTCGGCTATTTATAAGTGATCGATATATTCGTATCTTTAATGGGCGTAGGTATGCGGATATTAATTGGAAATGGTGCCCACACGCGAAAGGGAGAATTTGAGTTTGCGAAGGCCCGAGATCTGTTGCGCTGCGAGTGTTTATTTACATTTTCATTAATGCCTTGTATTAAATTACGAACACTTCTAGAGCTTGCATAATTTGAGCTTATTGCCTACCATGCTCATCCGGTAAATGTCGAAAAAATACGGAACTTCAGAAAGCGATAAAAGCACAGAAGCTCGAGCTTGCAAAGTATACGAGTTACAGACGTGTGGGAGGCTACAAAAACTAGAAAGAATTACAGACAATTTTGGAACTACCCCTACTACCATAGGATCCGCACAAGCTGCAGGGGTGCAGGATTAAGGAAAACCACAGATGTGGCGGAAGCTACAGGAAAACTATACATAGGTACTACGAGCAACTATGAAAATACAGCAACTGTAAAAAGTGCAGAAGCGTCAGCAACATCGTATTCTTTTTCCAGCTAACATGCTGTTCCAAATTGCGAAAACTACATTTTTTCTCCTTCTCTCCACTTATTTCTTCTCTTCTCGTTTCCGCATCTAAACCTCTCTATTAGTTTGATGTTTTTATTTTCCTCCCTTAGAAATTTCGGTACCTCCTCCGTTATTAGTATCTTCTGTTTCTTGGTGAACTGTCGATTTTCTCTCTGTGTTGCTGTACTTGTATACCCTGTTCCATTTTTATAAGTTCTTCTTCCATCCTTTCTCCCATTTATCCCCTCCCTTTTAATAATTGCATCAATTTTGACTTTCCTCTACTATTTCTCACACCTGTCTCTTCGCCACTTCTCACTTTTCTCTTAATCCCCTTGTTCGTGTGGTTGCGCCAGTATTTCATTGTATCTTGTAAATGTGTCCCCTCTTTTGTAAATTAGCACTTTATCCCTTTCTTCCATTCTTCCGATAGACCTGTCATATCTTGTCTATTAGTTTCCCTTAGCTCCTTGACGCTATCTGTGGCGAAACATTCCCTCCCTGCCATCACTCCCTACCGTTTTCCCTTTCTTCAGTTTCTTTAATTGCTGCTTAACCTTTTCTCTTGATATCTCGTCTCCTTCCCCTCCTCTCTTCTTCTTGATCACCCTCTTTCTCCTGGTTTCCCTGTAGTATCTTCATTTATTTAATTATAGTTATAAAGTCAATTGTCTGTGGTCTGTAGGTTGTCTCCACTTATTGAGTTTTTCCCATTTCCTCGGTGTATGATCTTCCTTTATTTATTTCCTTATTTATATTTTTCTGTTTCTGCACCTTTTTTCTGTACATCTCCTTTTTTATTTTTTTTCTGTTCTCTAATCTCTCCCCTTTCTTTCTTTTTCCGTCATTGTTCTGTATCTGTTTCTCTCTTCTGTACACACTTCTCTCCCACCATTCCTTTTTTTGTCACTCGAATATCACATTTTGGTTTTTTTGGCATATCTTCGGAGGTCATGGGAATTTTCTGGTTTTCCTTACAGCGCGATAATAACTCTTATTTCGCAACTTTTCCCTACTTTGACCATCTTCTATGCTTTCCGAGCTCCCCATGGTAGACCTCCTTATCTTGGGAACAGTGTATAAACGTGTAAATATTATAAATAAATCTTTTAATAGAAGACCTATGTGACTTCTGGACCAGGAAGTGACGTCACACCAAATAGAGACGAACACGTGACGGCACACCAACGTCTATAGCAACCACATGACCGATGGCGCGGGTCCGATCCATGCTGGCCGATTTAGTGACTAATAAAATGGCGCCCAACAAAATGGCGGGATTAGAGACTAATAAAATGGCGTCCAACAAAATGGCAGATTTAATAACTAATAAAATGGTGACCGATCTATGATGGCGGATTTAATGACTAATAAAATGGCGCCCAACAAAATGGCGGAATTAGAGACTAATAAAATGGCGACCGAACCAAGATAGCGGATTGGGTGACTAATAAAATGACGTCCAACAAAATGGCCGACCACACCGCTCATTGGCTGTGACGCCACAGGTGGCGGACTCTAAAGGTCACGCCTACCGTATCCCATTGCCCAAAGCGAGGGGCTTGCTCGTCTCTGATTGGCTGTGATGTCACGTGCTCGTCTCTGATTGGTGTGACGTCACTTCGTGGTCCAGAAGTCACATAGGTCGTCTACTAATGCTAGTCATTTTGTTCATTACTGCACAATTGGTACGAATGACTCCAAAATTTTCTCATACCCAGAGTGAACAAACCCTGTGTAAACAGCAAAAATTGCGCGTGATACACAAGTTACAGTTACAAGAGCTGCATGAACCAAAAACCAAAACTGTTTTGATTTTCCTGACTTCATTTCTTTTTGTACTATTTTGTCTGTTCTCTGAAGTCCTTCTCCTCTATCTCTCCCCTTTCTTTCTTTTTCCGTCATTGTTCTGTATCTGTTTCTCTCTTCTGTACACACTCTCTCACACCATCCCATTCTTTAATATCTCTCTTCTCCTTCACTTATTCGTTTCCACGTTATTGCCTTTTTAATACTTTCCCTTATAGTTTTCCACTCCTCCTCTATGCTTTCTCCTATTTCTTATTCTTTTTTTGTGTTGTTACCTCTTTCTAGAAGGCTTCACAGTGTCTTTTGTCCATAAATGTATCTTCCTTCGTCTTTGAATCTTTCGAATTCTTGATCCTTAGGCCTACCTTAAATTCTTTTATTTCTTCCAGTATTTTTTCGTTTACTAGTATGTAATCAATTACCGATCTCCCTCCTCCTCCCATATATGTATATTGCCCTCATTATTTTCCTGCAATTTTGTTTAATATAGTCCATCCTCTATTTTCTGTTAATTCCAATAACAATTCTCGCTGTTTGATGCATTCTTTCTCTTGACTTTCTATCTTATGTTTTCTCTTCCCATCTCTACTAATTTTCATTTAGTCCCTGCTCTGGCATTTAAATCGCCATCCAATATGAGCGTTTCTTCCCCCCTTTCATCTACACTCGTTTTTTCAGTGTGCCCTCTTCCTCTTCCACTTCCTTTCCAGATTTCTTTCTCACATTTTTTACCCCTGTTATTATTCTTGCAGTTTTGTTCTTCTACCCGTGATTTCACCATCCCCCCAACATCATATTCTCTTACAAACTTTCAGGGTAGTACGTCTTTGCGTTGCAGAAGCTACAAGAGTTAAGTGCATTACAGAAGTACAGCAAATTCTGAACAAGCGAGTTCGGCATAGCTCGGACCCTCAATTAGAGTCGCCTCTCTACGTCCATGGTGCCAAACGACGTTTACCAACGGCCAAATACACACTACACTTCTTTGCACACCAATGCCGAGTGAGCCGAAGGCGAGTTCGGCATAGCTCGGATCCTCCCTTAGACTCGCCTTTCTACGTCCATGGTGCCAAACGACGTTTACAAACGGCCAAACATATATTACACTTTTTTCGCACACCAATGCCGAGCGAGCCGAAGGCGAGTTCGGCATAGCTCGGACCCTCCCTTAGACTCGCCTTTCTACGTCCACGGTGCCAAACGACGTTTAGCAACGGCCAAAAATATATTACACTTTTTTCGCACACCAATGCCGAGCGAGCCGAAGGCGAGTTCGGCATAGCTCGGATCCTCCCTTAGACTCGCCTTTCTACGTCCACGGTGCCAAACGACATTTAGCAACGGCCAAACATATATTACACTTTTTTCGCCCACCAATGCCGAGCGAGCCGAAGGCGAGTTCGGCATAGCTCGGACCCTCCCTTAGACTCGCCTTTCTACGTCCACGGTGCCAAACGACGTTTAGCAACGGCCAAAAATATATTACACTTTTTTCGCCCACCAATGCCGAGCGAGCCGAAGGCGAGTTCGGCATAGCTCGGACCCTCCCTTAGACTCGCCTTTCTACGTCCACGGTGCCAAACGACGTTTAGCAACGGCCAAAAATATATTACACTTTTTTCGCACACCAATGCCGAGCGAGCCGAAGGCGAGTTCGGCATAGCTCGGACCCTCCCTTAGACTCGCCTTTCTACGTCCACGGTGCCAAACGACGTTTAGCAACGGCCAAAAATATATTACACTTTTTTCGCACACCAATGCCGAGCGAGCCGAAGGCGAGTTCGGCATAGCTCGGATCCTCCCTTAGACTCGCCTTTCTACGTCCACGGTGCCAAACGACATTTAGCAACGGCCAAACATATATTACACTTTTTTCGCACACCAATGCCGAGCGAGCCGAAGGCGAGTTCGGCATAGCTCGGAAACCCCCTTACACTCGCCTCTCTACGCCTACGGTGCCAAACGACGTTTACCAACGGCCAAATACACACTACAAACAGTTCTGGATCATGTTCATTTGTAAAAATAACAACAACGAACTTTTGTATCACTGTAAACAGAAAAAAATGCACTTTTAAAAAATGTCAAAACCAACTATGGTTGGTATTTAAATAAATGGAAGTTTGCATTATAAAAGACGAATGGAAATTAATGTATTTCTAATAATAACGATTCCACAACATTTAAAAGAAAAATAACTAAATCTGTTTTTCACTCATATCTAGTAAACTGTGGATTTAAAAAAAAAACCATATCTTGAATAAGCTCTAAAAACGTCAACTGTTTCTCCATTTAGCCGAATCTCTATGCCTTCTGGTTTCCGAGATCCCAATGCATAAAATGAAAAAAAGCTCACCCTGTATATAACTGCAGGTCGCCTACAAATGCAACGAATAAACGAATTTTTAGTAACCATCCCCAATTGTACGAGTTTTGAGTGCAATGCTATGTCGACGTCAGTCAACTGTGACAGCGCCCCCACTTAACAGTCCAATTTGAGGGCCATACATCAGTACAACTGTCCTTATTCCTGCACATGCAGTCAATTCTGTCAACACTTTCAGGGCCACTACATGCTGATCGGCACCAGAAACCGCGGATTTACGATAATAATCCATTATGTAACTAGACTAGAAGCACGTACGAAACTACTTACGCTAACCCAGTTGGTACAAACAAACAAACGCGACCATAACAAGGGGGCTCCGTATAGGTTGGTAACATCTGGATAGTGCAGGTCTTTTATTTGCATTCCGTGACAAATCCTCGTCCGGTCGTAATCCTCCCGCTTAGTCAAAGACTTACAGCGGTAATCCCCTAAATTAATTCAGTTACGACGTCGGTTAAGAAGTGTAAAAGAGGCAATTTTGTAGATGACTTGCGAGAAGGTTGTCGCCGCAACAAAGGGGGGGACGCTTTTAATTCGATCACGTCGGCAAGCGGAAATTATCTGATTAGCGTCGTTGACTATGACGACAAGCAACAGATTTCTGAGCTGACCCAAAATCCTTTATGTGCGCACACTTCAATGCCGATTTTGTTGCAGGTTTAAGGATACGTATAGCAAATTTATTTTTAAAACTCCTATCATGCCTCTTGTACATAATAAGGGTGATCACCGATCAGAATCCCACATACGCAACTTGGTAAGTGCTAAATTTTTTATTTATTTATTACGATCCTTGCATGCACACATCGCCCAAATAACACCGCGGGCTATTTATAGGCCGCGAAAAATCAATAGGGCCAGAATACAAAGTGGAAATCTAATAATACCTGGTCTCAGTACAACGGGTGTGACGCTGTTAACATTGCACACGCCGAAATGTGGGTTTGCATGAATATTGCTTGCCTAATCACTTGCGGGAATACATTAGGTTAATTAAACGCATAATTAGTAAAGTGGAAACATTGAACTTTATTACACCCATTTTTCATTTCACAAGGACGCTTGCTATTACGGTTTTTGACCCTGTGTTTTTACGAAAGTTTCTCATTGAGCTTCATATCGAATTAAAATATACGCTCGATGCATCCTGACAGTACAGAAACTTCCAAATCTGGCAATTCAATTTAATGAACCCCTATCTTTACCCCACCCCGCTTGGAACCCACCATACTAAAGACGCTAATCAATGAAGAAACCGAAATAATCGGACATCAGCTTATAAAACCAGACTCCGACCCCCACCCGAGTATCTAAGCGATAGCAACAAGTCGAGTTCCATCGTCGCTGGGGAAATATGGATGGTAAGAACCAACCAGTGGAGATTTTGCTCGTGGACATCGCACCTCTGGCATTAAGAAGGCAGACAACTTACTCAAGATGAAAGAAGAACGCTCCAGCGTACTGTTCCAAACGACCATACCGGTTGTCACCCTCTCGAAAGCTACAACCAGAAAAAGAGCTTCAAATGATGTGTTACTACGGAGCAAGAAGCCTTGGCAGTTGTTTGAAGTTCCGAGCCTATATTGAAGGTGGGTCGGTAACCGCAATCACAGACCACTAACTCCTCAAGTGGTTGATGTCCATCAAGACACCCACAGGACGTCTGACAAGGTGGGCTTTTTAACAATAACCATACGACATCCAGATCCTCTGGGAAAACAAACTTAGTTGCCGACATACTGCCACGACCCCCAGTGGACAATTATGAGGTGTGCGAAATTGCAATAAAGCCTACCACGAAAGGGAGCTGATGATATTCACCAGGAACAGCTACATGGTCTAGAGTTAAATTAATATTGGATGTTTTCTCGTCACCAGGTGGAGACGAGGAGGATACCCGATGGGCCACTCGTGGATATCTGGACCTGTACACTGACAATGGAGTTGATCTAACCACCGTTACTGATACAAGAGCGTGTACGAACTTAAATCCATCAAGAGATCATGATCAACCCACTTCCGGACACTATGGCATACAGAAAACCTATCAGAAGATCGCCCGACCCATATCCCAGATTCGCCGACGTGGACGCTCCCGCAAATGGCCAACAATGAGGGGCCGTTACGCTCGAGGCGCCATCCCTACTCCACAAAGCTCCTAAGGATCAAAATAGCCTTACTACTCGTGAAAGAAGCGGAACCAGAGAACACGTGGCTTCCATTATCTTGGTCTCAGCATTTAGACGAGTGGAACTAACTACCAGCTCGAGCACTCGTTACTATTTACCTTGATCCAGGTAACTGGAACAGTTACAGTTTGAGGGCCCCGTTCGTACGCGTACCTAAACAGGATTATCCAATGATTTCTTCAGGATTCCATAAAGAAATTTTTCTTGGTTAAGGTGTCTTTTCTTCACACCTCCTTCACTATCACAATTTTATCACATCATCTTCCTTTCTCCTTCTTTCTTCATGTCGCCATTGTTTACAGTTTCTTTCCCATCTCTTTTCTTCAAGACGTGTAAACCTATTTACGCTTTGCCTACATTTCTTTGACGTCCATTTTTTCTTCTCTTCTTTTCAAACACACTTTCTTTCTGCATATTTTACGTATCTTTCGCGTTCCTTTGGTCCCTTATTCTCCTTTCAAGCCTTTGAAGGTCTCCCTTCAAGCCTTCTCGACCTCTCCTTCCTTCGCGATGATATCACACTTCTATCATACGTAAAAGATTATTTCTTCACGTCCTTATCACGTTCGCTTCCTCCACGTCTACTTTCTTTAACTTTCTTTCACAGCTCTATCACACCTTTTTTTTTCTACCTCCTTCATTACATTTTTTTCTTTGCGATTCATTCCACTTTTACAAATTCCTTGCGTGTTTGTCGCGCCTTTTTCAACCTCATCTGTTTACCTTCTTGGCGACCTTTTATGACCTTTACATTCACACGTGTTCCATCCCTCAATAATTTATTTTAGGTTTTTTCCTTCACGCCTCCTTTCTCATAATTGTCCTACTGTCCCTTTTTCAACATTATTCACATCTCTGTGTTTTGCAAGGGTCCTTTATGCATCCGTTGTCCTTTCTGCAGACCCCTTTTGCCCTCTTTCTTCATTTTGCATTTGTCCATGCTTCCTTACTATACCTCTTTTATCTCACCTCTCTTTTTCAAGCTTTTTAAAACTTCTCGAAATGGGTCTCCTGTTTCTTCATGCTTTTTCTTTTTACACTTCTTTTACTCGGTTCCAGTATTCCTCCGTGATCCTTTCTGGAGATCCCTTTTGCTCCTTTTTTTCACTTCTCATCTGTTCGTCCTTACTTTCTTATAAGCACATCTTTCTCACCTCTGTCCTTCAAGCCGTTTAAATCTCCATTATGTTATCCTTATACTTCTCGCCTCCTTTCTGGAAATTGGGCTAATGTTCCTTCATGCTTCTTCTTTCCTCCAATCTTGATTGCTTCACGCCCCGTTTACCCTTATTTTTCAACATTATTCACATCGCTAATGTGTACTTCGCGATTCCTTTATTCCTCCGTTGTCCTTTCTGCAGACCCCTTTTGCTTCTTTTCCTCACTTGCCATTCATTCATTCTTCTTTTCTTATAAGCCTTCTCTTCCCCACCTCTCTTCTTCAAACCTTCAAATCTCCATTATGTAAGCCTTATACCTTTCACCTCCCTCTCGAAATTAGGCTACTGTTCCTTCATGCTTCTTTTTTGCTTCACTCCTGATTTCTTCACGCCCTTTTGCACTTATCTTTCAACATCATTCACATATTTCACGATTCCTTTATTCCTCCGTTGTCCATTCTGCAGACCCTTTCCTCCACAATCCATTTCATCTATTTTCTGGGCACCTCTTTCCTTTCTTGACGCCTTTTCTCCGAAGCTTTCGTGAATTTTGCTCACTTTCTTTCTTTATTGGCCCTTAATTTGCGATCAGATCAGATCCACCCTTTTTAAATCTCTTCTTTTTTTCACATTTACCTCCTTCGCGCTTTCTTTTTACTTTCTTGACGACTTTGGATTCCTTCGCGACTCCTGCTTTTTCGTGCGTCATTCGCTTCATTTCATGTTGTCTTCTTCCTCCAGTGTCTTCCATTAGCACTTCCATAACGCCTCCATTTTGCCCACTTTTTTTTGACAATCCCTTAGGTTCCTTTCACACTTTCTTCGCGCATGGTTCACAGTTTTATCACACATAAATTTCACGCCCTATCACGTTCCCTTCCTCCACGTTACCTTTCTGTATACCTTCTTGAGAGTCTTTCATCACGCCCTTTACATTTACGCCTGTTCCCTTACACCTCCCTCGTTAATTTCCCTTCTCGAAAATGTTCTACTACCCTTATACTTTTCGGACGAATCTTTACACCTGTTTTTTTCTTTGTCACCTGAACCACTTCAAGGTCGCTCGCCACTTGGTGGTGACCTTGGAAAGTAGATCGATCTGACGTGCACGTGGCAGCGACCTTAGAAGGTAGACCAAGGTAAAGCTCAAGGGGCAAGCTTTGATTACGTATCTCATTTTATGGGGTGTTTCTTCCAGGGTGACCAAGATCGATGAGTCTATTTTTGTGGTGTTAAATTAGATGTTTAGGGTCACTCATGGCCCATGACCTCATTTTGTAGTGCCAAATTACATTTTCAAAGTCATACCAGGTCGATGCCCACATTTGGCGTTGTCAAATTACTGTATTGAGGTCATAGAAAGTCAATGACCACATTTTTGGGGTGTCAAATTACATTTCTAAGGTCACACAAGGTCAATGAACCCATTTTGAGGTATCAAATTACATATTTAAAGTTATGACTAAATTTTTGTGGTGTCAAATTACATTTTTGAGGGATCCAAGGGCGATGGCATGAATTTTTGTGGTGTCAAATTGCAATTTCTAGGTCATAAAAGGCAATGGCCCCATTTTTTGTGGTATCAAATTATATTTTCATGGTCATTGACTCACGTCATTGTCACGTCTCTTTTCCGCAAGGTAAGTTCTTTGCGGTAACACACCAACCACACCTCCCTCTATTACACGTTTTTCCTTTTGGTCTCCTGGTTACATCTACACTCCCCCCTCAACATTACGTCTTTTTGCTTTTGCTTCCTACACGCGCCGTTTAGACGTCCTTTATGTTTTCTTATTCAAGGTTTCTCCATTACCTGTTCCTTCACGTGTTCCGCTTGCGCTGACGCCTATGACCTTTGATATTGCCACATTTGGACAGCTGTAACTATTTTTAAAAACTCACCTTCCACCTGAGAAATGCGCCCGAGCCCTCGAATGACACAGTACACAATTCGCTCATTCTACAAATCACTTGCATTGCATTAACAAAGTGTGTCTCATATTTCAGTTACGGTTGCACTCCAGGGAACAAGACAGAATATATCCTGTTAGAAAACTTAACAGAAGAACAATTTCAAGAAAATCCCATCATCAACTGGGATGCCATTTGGTGGGTGAACCGCCCCCTCGTCCTATGGTCAGTCCAAGTCGTGCTAGCAGTTATAAGTCTGACCGAGGCGTTACTATTAGCCTATTTAGGATACAAGGTAAGTGCCTTTTGGACGTGTCAATGCTCCCGATAGTTTAAAATTTCGAAACTGCCCGAACTTTCTCGCCGAAAACGCCGACACCGCCTTCGGGGGCAGTTGAGATAGTGACGGTTACACTTTGAGGAGCAAAACTTTCTCGATTACAATTCGTTATCGTAACGAAACCATCTCGAACTCCCGCGCCACATTCAAGCGTACTAATTTCCTTCGCGCTTCTATAATTAATGGGGCGGAAAGCGGAAAATAAAACATATCGACGAGAGCGAGGCAGGTGTGCAATGGATTATGCAATAAACAAGGAGAGTTGCGATAGCAATAAACTTCGTAACATCGCCATTACGACGTTTTCTCGCTCGGATAGTAAATTGACATTGTAGACGAGGCGGTAATAAACACTACATCGTGCTTCATTTAATTATCAGCCCTTGTGCGGCTCCGCAAAGATTTTAATTACATTTATCGCGAATGGAAGTGAGGAAATTGTGATTTTTTTTTTTCGGCGACGGCGGAGAAATAACGAGCTTCGGGTAGCACGCCGAAATATCTTGTCACGGAAGTTCTGCCTGGAATTTCATTTCTTTACCAGTGCGTGATGCGTTTTGGTTCTAAAACAAAAACGACTGTGAAAAGCTCTCAAGGAGGGGGAACTTTTGAGATGTTGTAAAATCCTTTGAGGCGACTCTAAAGCAAGTCTATTAAAACACTCTTTAAGCACACTAGTCATTTTTAAAGGCTCTTTGACCCTTTAAAGTATTTTGAATCCATCACTAAAGGCACTTAAAGCTTTGAGACGACTCTTGAAGACACTTGTAAAAAAAAACATTACTCTGTAATTGTGTGCAAGCCTGTTGAGGGCCCAGAACAAGAGAAGGTTAATAAATAATAAATGATAAATAATAAATAATAAATAATAAATAATAAATAATAAATAATAAATAATAAATAATAAATAATAAATAATAAATAATAAATAATAAATAATAAATAATAAATAAAGACTTTTGGAGGCTTCTAGAAATTCTTAGTACCATTAAATGTACTTAGAGACCCTTAAAGGTTGTTCAAGATTCTGGTCTGTATTAACTACTATTTAAGTTATTAAAGGCTTTTAAAGACTCATAAGGACTCAAAAGGTCTTAACAGTCTGTTAGTAGCTCTTTTAAGAGAGGAAACATTACTGTTTAAAAACTTCTAGAAGAAGTTTTTATGAAGACCTGAATATGAAAGTTTGACAACCTCCGATCTAATCTACACTCTTCCTGTAAATGAGAACTAAAACTTTGTAGTGCAAACCTCATTAAATTTCCAACTCAACTTGCACAACCTGAAACTTTGAACTTGCGCTCTACTCCAAAAAGCATTCCTGATTAATTTACTAGGGCATTCAGCCGTTTTCACAAATTTCCCAATGCTTGGCATTTGCGGGTCAAGAAATTGGATAGGTAAACGGCAACGTATGAGGAAATGAAGTTACCGCACAATCAGACCAGCGTAATTGAACAAATGGATTTTCGGAATTAAGTCCTTACAGACTAATGGAGTGGAGCGCTCTCCACCTTCCCGTCTAAAAGAATTGCAAGAATTGCGGTCTTCACATAAAAGCACTCACCTCCGCCACATTTTTCGTCGAAACTTAATTACACAAGTACATCTACCTGTACGGCTTTTATATTCGATATGGAGCGCCTTTCAAAAACTTAATAATCTCTGCAGGGGCGGCCGCCCTTACTTTTTTACGGACGAGGTTAACCGTTATAAGTATCAAAAAATGTTGCATTTATAATTCAACTCGAGTCGACGTAGATTCCAGAAGCTAAATTATGTACACGCTTGCCTTCCTTTTGAATAATTGAGCGAAGTTCGCCGTACGTTTTTTTCCCGCTTATGTCCTCTTCGCAGATACTTATGCAATAAGGCCATCGTTTGTTGCTGTAACAGTGATGAATGGCGTACGAGTCGCTTTTTGATTTGTTTACTTACATTTTCAATGCAAGAGACGCCTCAAATGGAAAATTAATTATTGAAAACCGTCGCAATTCAGGACAATGGCCGTTGATATACATTCTTCAGAAATGCTACATTGTAAACTAGTAATCTCTTCGAAAGTATATTCGTAAACAATGTCACTCACATATTCTTACAAATCTTAGTAAAGAAATATTTTGGAAAAACTGCCGAGTGCGCCCAAAGCGTCTCGACGCTTACCATCTGGACACTTCTGTTTGCATCACGAATTGAGCTAATCACGTGCACACTGATTTTTTCTGATCCGCTTCGTTTACTCGCTCGAACTTTTAAAATCGTCAGAGCGCCGAAAAACAAAATCCCTGAATAAGGAAACGCTGACGAAGCTTGTATGGACATACTACTCCGCACACAGACGGTCGATAAATAAAATAAAAAAACTCAAAAAATCCATAAAGCTACTCAAAACCCTTCTATATAAACTTAATGATGTCCCCTGAACTTAAGACCCTACTTTCCTTAAGAACTTTTACCTAAAAATATATCCAATGAAAATATTCAATGAAAAACCAAAAATATATACACCCTCTAGTCTCTTTACTTGTTCATGTCTAATATGATATATTCTCTTCTTTTTTCTTCTTTTTTTCTCTCTCATCTTCTTCAATGTCTTCCTTAACTTGTAATTACTCAATTAATCTACTAAATTTTCTTATTCTCTAACGTAAATTTATTGTTTTTCTTTCATTTGCACTTGTGCTACTTCCACTCTACTATCTTCTCTGACTTTCTATTACTAGTCTTATTTTAAATTTTTGATATGAATTTTTTACAAAGTTAATCAATTGATTTATGTTTCTCACGATTTTATTCTCTTGATGCCATTAATTATTTCTTTAATTTCCATGTCTAGGGTCCATAACCTGCTGATTATGAATTAATCGTGACACAATTATTTAAAATACACACAATTAATCTGTTTATGCACCCCACCAGCATACGAACTCTGAATTTAGAACAAGAACATTCGGGTCACTTTCGCAAACCGCCGCCCGGCCGTAAACCGGAGGGACTCGAGTTTTTTATTCCTTACAACTTTAGCAATCATAACGACTGTCTAAGGCAAAACCACCAACCAACTTTTTAACAACGAAACTTTTACCAATAAGAGTAAAACTCGAATTCGCCACAGTTCTGGACCCGGAACTCGAATTTTCCTGTAAGAAACGAGAAGTAACGAGAGAAGTTTCTTTTAGGCCCTAAGCGACCGCAGAGAAATGAATAAGGAATAGCGCAATCGATATAGGAAAAGACAGACGGGCGAACACTAGCTCTTTCTGCGTTGTATAAAAACACAGGGATTTGCATACTTTTATCCTCGATGGAATACAAACATTGCCTTTTTGGCGATACGGAAACTACTCAACGTGAATTTTTGATTAATATGCTACCCCTCGCACGTCTGCAGAAAAAAATCCGAACCTTTTTCCGTGCCTACTTTATGACAGGAAATTTTAGTTTCCATCACAGTTTCTCTGCCTAGGAAACAATATTCTAATAAAAACTAGAACGTGTGCGAGAAAAGGGTACAAAGAATCAGAAAAATAGAGTAGAATGTATTGTTGTGAAAACAGCGTCATGTAAATGTAAAAGTTGGTTTACAGTATTTGAATTTGTTGTCTCAGTGTCTATTTTTTCTTTGAGAATTGTTGTCTTTGCGTAATTCTTGTCCAAATTCTGTCGCTTTTGTAAATTGTTCCTTAAGATTTGTGTATTTAATTTTAAAACGTGAAATTGCGTGTTAAAATGTAGGGACATCTGGTTTTTAGCATTGGAAATGTTTACGATTTCGAGTATTGCCTTTTTTTGAAGCCCGAAAAAAAAAATTGTCTCAGATCGACCCGGAAAAAAAATTTTCTTATAGAATGTGGCCTGTAGAATCAATAATTTCAAACAGTTCCAAAATTGGGCTACTAGTTCAAAAGTTACAGCCCTTTGAAATTTCTTTCGAAATTGGTTTCTAGTCCATAACTTTTGATTGAGAAGTCTAATAGAAAAAGTACGAATTGTTTTGGATTCTACGCACCAAAATTAATAAGAAAAAGTGTTTTCCCGAGAAATTTTGGTGTAGTCGATTTTTGGTAAAAAAGGAAGGTTATACACTGCCTTTTTTTGAGGCCCGAAAAAAAATTGTCTCAGATCGACCCGGAAAAAAATTTTCTTATAGAATGTGGCCTGTAGAATCCATAATTTCAAACAGTTCCAAGATTGGGCTACTAGTTCAAAAGTTACAGCCCTTTGAATTTTTTTTTCGAAATTGGTTTCTAGTCTATAACTTTTGATTGAGAAGTCTGATCGAAAAAGTACGAATTGTTTTGGATTCTACGCACCAAAATTAATAAGAAAAAGTGTTTTCCCGAGAAATTTTGGTGTAGTCGATTTTTGGTAAAAAAGGAAGGTTATACACTGCCTTTTTTTGAGCCCCGAAAAAAAAATTGTCTCAGATCGACCCGGAAAAAAAAATTTTCTTATAGAATGTGGCCTGTAGAATCCATAATTTCAAACAGTTCCAAGATTGGGCTACTAGTTCAAAAGTTACAGCCCTTTGAATTTTTTTTCGAAATTTGTTTCTAGTCTATAACTTTTGATTGAGAGGTCTAATCGAAAACGTACGAATTGTTTTGGATTCTACGCACCAAAATTAATAAGAAAAAGTGTTTTACCAAGAAATTTTGGTGTAGTCGATTTTTGGTAAAAAAGGAAGGTTATTATACACTGCCTTTTTTTGAGGCTCGAAAAAAAAATTGTCTCAGATCGACCCGGAAAAAAATTTTCTTATAGAATTTGGCCTGTAGAATCCATAATTTCAAACAGTTCCAAGGTTGGGCTACTAGTTCAAAAGTTACAGCCCTTTGAATTTTTTTTCGAAATTTGTTTTTTGTCCATAACTATTTAATGAGAGGTTTAATCGAAAAAGTACGAATTGTTTTGGATTCTACGCACCAAAATTAATAAGAAAAAGTGTTTTCCCGAGAAATTTTGGTGCAGTCGATTTTTGGTTAAAAAGGGATGTAATAACTGCCTTTTTTTGGGGCCCGCAAAGAAAATTGTCTCAGATCGGCCCGGAAAAAGATTTTTCTTATAGAATGTGGCCTGTAGAATCCATAATTTCAAACAGTTCCAAGATTGGGCTACTAGTTCAAAAGTTACAGCCCTTTGATTTTTTTTTCGAAATTGGTTTCTAGTCTATAACTTTTGATTGAGAAGTCTGATCGAAAAAGTACGAATTGATTTGGATTCTACGCACCCAAATTAATAAGGAAGTGTTTTTCCCGAGAATTTTGGTGTAGTCGATTTTTGGTAAAAAAGGAAGGTAATACACTGCCTTTTTTTGAGCCCGGAAAAAAAAATTGTCTCAGATCGACCCGGAAAAAAATTTTCTTATAGAATGTGGCCTGTAGAATCCATAATTTCAAACAGTTCCAAGATTGGGCTACTAGTTCAAAAGTTACAGCCCTTTGAATTTTCTTTTTCTAGTCTATAACTTTTGATTGAGAAGTCTGATCGAAAAAGTACGAATTGATTTGGATTCTACGCACCCAAATTAATAAGAAAAAGTGTTTTCCCGAGAAATTTTGGTGTAGTCGATTTTTGGTAAAAAAGGAAGGTTATACACTGCCTTTTTTTGAGCCCCGAAAAAAAAATTGTCTCAGATCGACCCGGAAAAAAAATTTTCTTATAGAATGTGGCCTGTAGAATCCATAATTTCAAACAGTTCCAAGATTGGGCTACTAGTTCAAAAGTTACAGCCCTTTGAATTTTTTTTCGAAATTGGTTTCTAGTCTATAACTTTTGATTGAGAAGTCTGATCGAAAAAGTACGAATTGTTTTGGATTCTACGCACCAAAATTAATAAGAAAAAGTGTTTTCCCGAGAAATTTTGGTGCAGTCGATTTTTGGTAAAAAAGGAAGGTTATACACTGCCTTTTTTTGAGCCCCGAAAAAAAAATTGTCTCAGATCGACCCGGAAAAAAAATTTTCTTATAGAATGTGGCCTGTAGAATCCATAATTTCAAACAGTTCCAAGATTGGGCTACTAGTTCAAAAGTTACAGCCCTTTGAATTTTTTTTCGAAATTGGTTTCTAGTCTATAACTTTTGATTGAGAAGTCTGATCGAAAAAGTACGAATTGATTTGGATTCTACGCACCAAATTAATAAGAAAAAGTGTTTTCCCGAGAAATTTTGGTGTAGTCGATTTTTGGTAAAAAAGGAAGGTTATACACTGCCTTTTTTTGAGCCCCGAAAAAAAAATTGTCTCAGATCGACCCGGAAAAAATTTTTTCTTATAGAATGTGGCCTGTAGAATCCATAATTTCAAACAGTTCCAAGATTGGGCTACTAGTTCAAAAGTTACAGCCCTTTGAATTTTTTTCGAAATTGGTTTCTAGTCTATAACTTTTGATTGAGAAGTCTGATCGAAAAAGTACGAATTGTTTTGGATTCTACGCACCAAAATTAATAAGAAAAAGTGTTTTCCCGAGAAATTTTGGTGTAGTCGATTTTTGGTAAAAAAGGAAGGTTATACACTGCCTTTTTTTGAGCCCCGAAAAAAAAATTGTCTCAGATCGACCCGGAAAAAAATTTTCTTATAGAATGTGGCCTGTAGAATCCATAATTTCAAACAGTTCCAAGATTGGGCTACTAGTTCAAAAGTTACAGCCCTTTGAATTTTCTTTCGAAATTGGTTTCTAGTCTTATAACTTTTGATTGAGAAGTCTGATCGAAAAAGTACGAATTGATTTGGATTCTACGCCACCCAAATTAATAAGAAAAAGTGTTTTCCCGAGAAATTTTGGTGTAGTCGAATTTTGGTAAAAAAGGAAGGTTATACACGGCGACTGGGTACTTACGGGCCATTAAAGTATTAGTGTAGTAATGAAGGTGGCGAGGGGGGGGGGTTAGCTCTGAGGTGCACCACAAAAACATTTTAAAGTACTCCTTTCTCGAAAATCAATTACCATACAGTTTTTTTTTAAATTGCAGCTGATAATTAAAAGTAACAAAATATACAATCCACACGAGGTGCGTCGCCTATCATTGTATTTCAGCACTTTCATGCTACGACAAAAAATGATAAATTCATTGTAAAACACTTCAATTAAAACAGAATTTTTTAACAACCTAACATCAACCCCAATTAGAGAAACGTGTTAATAATTTATTAATAGTGCAAGAAACTAAATACAGCACATACTTATAAATTTCCAACGGGCCATTATGATCTACAGGCCAGGTGGCAATCGCCACCCGCCCCCCCGGGCTAGTCCGCCCCTGTAGACGGGACGAACTAATTGTGGTCTACGTTCTTGTTGCGAGTACATACTTTATTTTAGAGTAAAATAAATATCGCTCCTTTCTTATTGGTGGAAAACTCCCGAATATTCCTTGTATAGGATAAATACACACTTCAAAAGTATTAGAAAACGAACACTATATTTAATTATTTTCCATATAAGTAAATTTTCCACTTTATGTCACCTAGCCCCAAGTACAAATACTGATATTGTACTTGCAGTCTAACAAAGGATATTACCCAGGATATTACTGTTTATAATAGAGTTGGGGCAACTGCTCTACAATTATCTTTGTATCTTTGCAAATAAAAGAAAATATCTAGTACAATATGAGCCGATTCGGGTCAAACTATGCACCATTTTTATCTATACACAAAATTGTATTCCTCTATTCGCACTAAAATTGTAGGTTCTACAATAGCCACACTCAACAAGGCATCCATTCAAAATTGGAAATAGTAAACTCGATTTGTCGTCGATAACAAAAAACGAATTAAAGCGTAATTTTTAGAAAATATGATACGAATTCAATCAACGTGAAAAAAGCGGACGTTCCGATTCTCACCAGGAAGTTTTAAGATCAGATTACGTGACCCTCGAGAGCTCGATTTGATGATTTGCCAACGAGGAGACTGCGAGAGAAATGATGGATAGTAAAATTCATAAGGGATGCGGATAGAATATAATAAGGCACTTGTGTCCGAGACGTTGCAGAGCCTTTATCTGGAGTAATCACATCACAAACCGCTCGATATAAGGCAGATGATGCAGCAACTTATCTTGCACAGCAGAAATGACACGTATAATTTTCCCTTTCTTTTGAAGCGTCCGGTAAAAATGGATTATTTAAACGGTTTAACAAGCCAAAGGCGGGTTAGTTTTAAATATGTAGGTATATCATCTAACCTATCTACGAAAATGAGTTGGGTAAAATAAGACGTGATCTGTCACTTAATTTCAGACTTTTAGATATCAATAGTTCCTGATATAGTCATTAGAGTAATGCTGCGAAAATTCAACACAAAAGACATCATCAAAAGTTTTGAAATGGATGATTCGAAATTAAAGCGAGAACTTCAAAATTTCTCAAAAATGTACACCATTATATTTCTTATGGGAATGGGAAATGGGGAAAAACGCGTGAAATTTAATAAACCGTTTTTGAAATGTTATTATAAACACTTTCCGTGGCTTTGAATGGCCATCCAACACTTTATACCAAACTCTAAAATTACACCAAAAATACATCCCTAACGATAAAGGTTAAATAGACGAAAAAGGGATATTTTCACTATTGAGTGAAACGAGATGGTTAGTTTCCCTTTATCGTCGTGTATAATACAAAACTTTATTTTATAGCGGAAGCCATATAAATCATTGTAAAGCTTCTGACAATTTTGAATTTAATTTAGAGACGTCAAAAATAGCAAGCTTAGGTTCTGTCGTCGCGATCGTTTCTATAGAAACAGAATTGTCATGTGTTCTGATTTGATATCGTGCATTTGAAATAAGAACGACAGAATCATTAGAATGCACAGTCAAATGTTTTACTTTATCTATCCTTACGGTTACAGAGGACTTAGCCTACTCTTTCAAACCTGTTAAAATGTCAATTTAACATAAATGCTATAAAATAAAAGTTGGTAGCGAGCCCACTTTTTTTGGATATTTAATCTTTGGAACGAAACTGTAAGTAATTGTAAGTTATAATTAGTAGTTTGTGTGTAATAGTGTGTTTTCCTACTAATTATCAAATTACAGATCGGTTCCTCAAGTTAGAGCTGGAATTACTGAGCTGATTTCACGGGTTAAGCCTTATAAAATCATATAGGTGCGAATTTCAAGCAATAGACTATAAAAGGTGGATCAGTATTTCCAGTCTTCCTTTTTAAAGCGGCCGTGGTGTCGACCGCAAATTTTAAGTAAATTACTTTGGAGGGATGCTAATCGAATCATTCATAATTCACTAAGCCACTGTGCGGACGATACACAGTAATTTTATTAATCCAGCCTTCTTACATTTTCGCCATTTTCAGTGCGGTTAAACCTCAGACGTACCTAATTAAAATAGAAAAAAAAACGCCTTCGCCACAGGATCGGATCGGAGTACGTAATCTGTAATTCTATCGATCGCTAGATATTTCAAAAGTACATCCAATAAATATCAACTAAAGTTTAAAAGCTAGTAATACAGATATAACGAGATTAAAAGGTACCCCCTTAATTTATGGCCATTTAAGTGTTGATTAAATAATAAATGAATATTAATTTGATTGCGATTTGTCACAGGCTAATGATAATTTATGTATCAATTTCAAAATTAAGATATAGAACGGGGACGCAGCAGATTTCTCCATTTCTGGGGGAGAGTATTTTATGAGGCATAAACTCTGTTTACTTATGCTAGCGTTTCAGACTTAGATCTCATGAAATGTAATGGTTTCAAAATATACGAGGAGGTAGGCGAAGGCGACGTTTGAAAATTTTATATAGAAACGCACACAAATATGCGTGCAAGTTGGATCGTTTATGGCACAAAATATTTATGTAGTTTCACTTTTTGATGTTATTACAACCCATTTCCATTGTTCATGCCATTCCTTCTAGTAGTAGATTTTGCAAGTATAAATCTTAATTAAGTGTAGACTTGTATAAAGTTTTTCATGAATAAAATGGCTATTAACTGCCTTCTAACAGCAAAGGAGAACTATTTATCCGGTTGTATACATATTTTAGAGAAGTAAATGCAAACAGTCGACAGCTTTAACCATTATTTTGAAATAAGGCTCAAATTTTCGTAGATTCCAGCTATTTTACTGTTTATTTGCGTTACTTTGTATAAATTTACTTTTAAATTAAAAATTAGCCTTATTTATAGAACTTGTAGATGTGGAATGTTCCCTTTTTACCTCATCGCGCCATTTCTAACACTTACTGAATTTTTTATGGTAATAGATTTAGAAGTTCTTATAATCTTATAGTTTTAAAAACTACAAAATGCGCAATGAGAGAGCTACCTAAACGATAAAATTGTGAGCGACTTGCACGACCTTGTAGTATGACGTTATACCTGTCGTCAACTGATAAAACGGGTTAATTGAAATGCAACCGATAAAATTTTTGTAGTAGAGCAGTGACCAAATGACTGTATTCGGGACGTATTGTTTAATTAAGTGTGTGTTTTACATGGAAGGAAATGGAAACCATCAATTGTAAGTTTTCTTTAGATTTTTTGTTTAAATGGGGAAACGTATTTAGACATGTAGTATTAATTGCTCTTTAGGTAGTTTGCTGTTCAATTCTTCAAAGGACAGTTGTGGAAGGTAAATGAGATTTAAAATTCTGATTCCTGTCTAAAGAAGGTTCCATTATTCCAGAATAAACCTACAGCATTAAAAGCTTGACGCCTAATGCCATAATTTTGAGGACTACATATCGTGGGTAGCTTTTCCCAACACCGCCCTTTTTCCCCGAAACACGTTTAGACATTTCATGATGTGCAGATCTAGCGACCTGGAAATTCTCCTGTCTACTAAACCTTTTTGGATAACTATTTTTTGCACGGGCGCATTTTTAATTATAGCACCACCATCGCAACATGTTCAGTTGCGAAATCTTTAGTTTATCCGACTGTCACTCGTAATAAGTGGCCAAGGGGTGGAAATCTTAGCCTATTTGCCAATGACTTTTGATTATTCAGTTTCCCCGCTAAATTTTTCACCACGACACCTGACATTGAAATCATGAATAGCATGCAATGACAAAAGCAGGGACAAAAGTGACTAACAATTTACTCTACAAGGCAAAAGATTATGCGATAATGAATGGTAAACGTCAAATGACCCTACAGAAAAAAATCATTTAGGGAAATCGGATGACTTGACGTTGATCTTTCTTCTCGTTAATAGAGCACGCTGTATATTATATTCAGAAATGGAAACAATTTCAAATGCTTCCTCTTGACTGTATTCCATTCTTGACGTACGTATGACAACTGTTTATGCTTTCTGAGTACTGATAAATTTCGGAAATCTGTAAGTTGATTCACAGGTTCGTAAGGCCGGTTCATTAATCCGATCGTATATGTTTATAAATCAATTTTTCAAATTAATACGACGGCACAATTTCAGCCATCACATTTTAATATTTGACAGGGTCTGTAATATCAAATAATCCGACAGAAACGAAAGAATCCAAATAAAAGATTTATTCGTAGTCTGTTAGGATAAAGTTAAAAAAAACAATCCTTGTTGTAGGGATTATTTTTCTTTAGACGATTATAATTCAGCTAACTTCCAAAATAGGGTTGTCTTTTTGTGTTACCATGTCGATTTGTGAAACTAATGATTAAGATATGTAATATAATCATTGTCGTTTGTGATATAACATCGCGTAAAGTGAACAAAACTGGATATTGGAGTTTCGAAAACCACCTGATAAAGTGAAGGTTGCATGACAAATCTGCACTTACAATTGCAACCAATATCCAGTAGTGAATTGTTCCTCACACACAGTGCTCGTGTATGGTACAAGTAAAATGGTGAGTTCTAAATACCCTTATTTTTAAATTCTTATGACCGATGTCTTTGTATGTTAATCATTTTCTTTAAGCGCGGACAGTGCATTAAGTTTGGCTAAATAGCCTTTTACTACAAGCTGTCCTTTCGATTTGTGTAATTTAATTGTAATGCTAATTTCCTTTCTATTTTGGCGAAACACTGGAAATAGTGTAAAACCCCGGCCTGGCTCTAGTTTTTTAGTATAAGATGGTTTAACCGCAATTATTTAGGCATGAAAACACCATTGCGTCTAATATGACGTATGGATTTGACGAGCATAAATTAAATATTGAATAACGGTCTATGGTATGTCATAAACATAGGGGGTGATGCAGGAGCTTAAAATAAGTCGACCTGATCACATTTGTTAATGATTTTGATTGGCAACATCTACGATTTTTCAACATCTCAATATGGATGCACAAAAATAAGTAGGTACTAAATAAGTAAGTAATTTTTTTTGCTTCCGGCCACCGACGAATCCGCCATGGATTCGTGGTAGGGGTTTTAGAAGCATTCCGATTGAGTTGAAGTTTTAAACTCGGGGGATTTTCGGAATTCATCCGTAAATCTAGAACCAATGTTTGAACATGAAAAAATTATGTGAAACTGCATGTTTTATCAATTGTGTCAATTTTTGTTTACCATTCATTATTCTAATTAGGTAGAAAAATTCAAATGGTAATTTCTTAGTTTTTTCATATGGCGCGAGTTTCCGACAGCTTCTAATTATTCGATGCGGCTGAAGGCCTTCTCCTAAAATAAAATCTGTGTGAACCTCTGAACTCTAAACATTTGTCAATTTCAAAACGGAAGCTATATATTGCTAGCTCTTTGACCCTTTAGACATTTATGTAGTTTTTACAAATTTTGATACGGGATCTCTAAACTTTACATTCTTCTATGATTTTGGATCTGCTAAGGTATCTAAAACTTCCGGGTCCTTTTTTTAAATAAATTCATAAAGCTTCTAGCGTGGTTGTAAAGGGGATGATTGGGAAATATGACTTTGACTGTATGAAATTGTTTAGAAGAAGGTCTCGGTTCTTAAAATGAATAAAAATAATATTGTCTGTTTGTTTCAGGTACAAGGACCTCCATATCCATCCCGAATGCAATATTTCCAATCATCGATCCACATTGCCACTTCTTAAACAGCTGTAAAAATGGTAAATAAAACTGAATTTAAATTTTTATATATTATTTGGGGATGTCATATGCCATAGTGTGAAAAGTGGATCTTATAAGAAAAATTGTATTTTACGTAGGTATGGCAATTAGCGCCTATAGTTGAAATATGCGAAAAATACAGAAAAATATATTTGTACAGGGTGTTACAGATGAGTGGATGTTTATAATAGGAAAAGCTGTTGGAATAAATTGTTGAAAACTAATGCATAAGGGTAATGACCAGGTCTCACTTAGATTCTTTTAATTTTATAGCATCTCGGGCAAGTTTTAAGTGAAAAATCTTACTTTTACTTGAGTGTTTTTTACGAATTTGAAATCAATAATGGCTACCATATCATTCGTTCGAGTTTGGTGTGGTGTACCATCAGAAAGAACTTCCGGAACTTTAACTAATTTTAGAAAATCGGCGGATATAACCCTGCAATAATTTATCTTATTAAAATTAAGATTGCCATAAACAACGATAAGGCACTGTAAAACTAAACATCTAAGCATTTGATGAACATACTTAGGAGTGGATTTCAGACAGGCGAAAAATGGTTGAGTCCGCCTCTGAAAGAAAATTAGTGCTAAATAACAAGTGATCGTAACTTGTAGAATGCAATCGCACCCTTTCTATTCATTTTGTATACTGCCTTCCTTCACTGCTTTCAATGAATTGAGCTGAAATAGAAAAACCAATAGCCATAGAGTTATAATAAAATTAATAAAAGCTCTCTTTCTTATATGGCCATTTGTTCTTTGTTACCACCGAGGTTACAAATAATTTTACTCCTTGCTGTGCTACTAATCGCAGAACTTCAATTTTACTAAACATCAAGTGAATTATAATTCGGTCTAATAATTTATAAGACTACACTACTAAATTGCTCTTTTATAATAACATTGGTTAAAGATACAGAATTTCATTACGCTATGACGAGCATTAAATCCCCATCTCGACAGTTCCAATACGGAATTGGACAGTGACGACTTGCATCGAACGGACGTTGCGGTAAATTTGCGGTGGACGTCTTGCCATAATCATCTGACTAGATGTATTGCAAATTGCAGTTATGCAGATTGTATCAGGCAACATTTCAAACACAATCATGTAGCAGGAATTGGAGATCTTAGCTAGAAGATCGGTTCACCGATTATAACAAAAGTAACAAAAACGTCATGGAACATTAACTTCGATATATGGGGCTCAATTCTAAAATGCATAATGGAAAACTGCGGCTTCTAACGTCGAAATAAAAGTAAAACGGCAATGGACGGTTTGCGATTTAGTCGAACTATTTCGTGTTGTAATAGCAACTATTTTATTTTTACGAATAGAGAGCATAGCCGACTGGGATGGTTGTTTTGGCACAATTTTAATTTGAAAGGGCTTAGGTTAAAATTGTGAGTGACATCACACATTCGTACAATCTTTGGAACCCTCCAGAACCCCTAAAACTTTAGAACAATTAAAACCTTAGAGTACTAATAGTTATTTATTGTGTAAGGTATAAAGGGATATTTTAACGATTGAGTGAATTAACCTTCACGAGATTGTTAATTTCCCTTACTCGTCGTCTATAATACAAAACTTTATTTTATGACAGGAGCCATATAAATCGTTGCAAAACTTCTGACAATTCTGAATTTAATTTAGACGTAAAAAAAGCAAGCTTAGGTTCTGTCGTCGCGGCCCTTTCCATAGTAACAGCATTGTCAATTGTTCTAAACGTCATATTATATCGTGCTCCGCGTCCCATTTGAAATACAAATGGCAGATGTCATTAGAAAAAAATTTCAATTATCATATTAAAAGAAACTTACAAGATGGGTAGACAAGTAACTTGTTTTTTTTTCAAAATTTAAAAAAAATTTGTAGCCGCGTGCCCGGAGCTCTAAATTTTTTTTGAAAATTATGTTTTTTATTTGTGATAGCAAAAAAATCATGGTATCAGTTGGTATCTATCAGTTTTTTGCTATGAAAATCCTCGACTTTTGTCTGAATAATAATCACATCACACATCTAAAAGTGGCTTTGAAAAAAAAATCTTTTACCGCCCGGGGGCACGGGCAACGGTTGAAATATATCAATTTTTTCTGTATCATAAGTGAACTGATTATTTATTTATTTATTGACGGTGGCAGTGGCCATAGTGGAAGACGGCGCGGCGGCAGGAAACGATGGAACAGGAGTGCTTCGGGTGCCACCAGAGGTTTCCACTCTCTCTTGTTGCTGGACAAAATGCGGTCGGCGATGATATAAGCTCCAGATAACTCGAATGGAGAACGGCGGTTCCAGGAATTCTAAAGCGGAAGCGGTAGGCGGCTACTGGTGAGTGCTAAAACACAATTACAATTTCCTTTAACGGGAACAGTAAATAATCTGTTTCGGTGGCGCTTTCTGCGGGAAAGCAAATGCAGGAAAGCGACACAATATTCCCCCCTTACAATAAATGAAAACGAAAATAGCAAAAAGCTTACCTTGCAATTAACGGAGCGGTAGGAATTAGTGAGCAAGGAAAAACAAAATCTATAGATACGGCACGGTACTACAACTGATTTGAAAATCACTGGTAAAATCTTTGTTTAAGTGAAAGCATCTTTCCTGATGCATGGAAGGTTGCCAAAGTGGTACCATTAGCTAAACGTCAAGATCCCAAGGAATTTAAAGAGTTTCGACCAATTAGCATCTTACCATGTTTATCTAAGGTTCTAGAGAAAATGATGGCTAGTAAAATTAGAAGTTACTGGGACCGTAACCACTGGTTTTAAGCGTGGTTCTAGTTGTAGTAATACTCGCGCAAGCGACTGTTGACAAGAATAATCTTGTTGTTCTTATCCTCTTAGATTACTCCAAGGCTTTCGACAAGGTTTCCTATACTGTACTTGTAGCGATCTAAAGGCACATAGTTTCAGTTTTTTAAACCATTTTTACGATTGAACTATTAATTCAATAAAACACTGTATGTATCACTTATACGCAGATGACACCCAATGAATGCAGCTTGTGTTCGAGATAAGTGGGTCACCTCACCTCACCACCCTTTTATTTGGCGAACAATTTGTCAAATTTAACTTTACGTTCTATCCGATCGTATATTGAAATTTCCGATATTACTTCCGGTTTAACCGGAATTGGAGACAACTTTTGTTTGTCAAATGTAATGCCCATGTTTTTTAAGATTTTTGAAAAGACCAAATAATTTGCGACAACATAAAATATGCATATGGTTCCAGTGTGTTCCAGGTAGAACGCCCCATAGGGAAACGGCAATATATTTTTTCGCTAAGGATCTGCCAGGCCTTTAGAATTGGCGTTTAACGTCCAATCTCTTTCTAGCATCAAGCTAGCGCAACATACGTTGAACCCTAACCTCAAATACATATCGAAAGCCTGGTGGATCTTTCGCGAAAAAAATATATTAACGTTGTTGGTCTATGGTTAATTCAATCTGGCAGACACGGTATAAATAAATGGAGAAATTCGATATTCATTATTTAAATCTTAAGCATCGACACGGTAAAGAACCAAATAGCGAAAAAAGTATAGCTCTTAAGGTCTGAAACCGACGCAGCCGTAAAGACGGGCAGATGGACGGTGGATCTCTTCTCAGGAGTGGTCTGGTCAGAAAGTCAATTTAATTCATGTTGTTGAAATATTAAAAAAACACTTTTTTAAGGGAAATTCCCTATATAGGTATACATTTACAAATGTTGAAAAAAAATAAAATTCAGGCTAAAGAAAGCAAATAACGTCTCTCAATTAATTAATAATGCAAATACAACGTATTAATCAAAGATGGACTGATCTAAAAATAAAAGAATTGCGATTTCTGTTACTCGCCCCAATCGGTAAAAAAACCTTCAAAAAATGTCAATCTTTAGCGTGATGTTTACTAAGCTTTTCTGGTAGGGATTGAGAGCGAGCTATATGTTACTTTTTTGTTTTTAATTTTGATCCGTCCCCATCAATTATTTTTCCCATTTCGAATTTTTTATTGAGGATGTACACTATAGATGAAACGAATTATTCGTTTAATAATTTGAATTAGGAACCTAATTTTTTTTTGGTTGACAAAATCAATAATTGCGAAATACCACACATTGGGGTGGTTAACAAGTGACATCCGGGATGCATTCTTAAAATCCGACGATATGAATAACTCGAACAGCTCTTGGAGTGAGACTTCTTTGACGATGATCGATTAAATTGCAGATGTCGATGGTCGATCCTTCTGGTCAGTACAAATTTTAGGTTGGCAAAAGAAACTACTACTAGCATAAACTTGTTTTTAACGGTTTGTTCTTCAATTTTGGGCTTAATGTGTGGGAAATTCCATTAGTAAACTTTTCACCTTGATTAATAACTTTACCGGCACAAAAATGATCGTAAATATTACCTGAGTTTGCTAACAGTTTTCTTTATCGCAATTTCACTTTACACGGGATATTAGGGATTTTTTCTCATGCGTGGCACTGCGTAGAGAGTCGCAAAATATTTGTGGAATTTGTTGAGTGGCGCTTTTGAAATTTTGTATCACGTTAATGAGATGGGGAAACTAATGTGCGCGGTAAATACACGCAAATTCTGCTCAGGGTAGCGAAAACTAACATGCACTTTTTGTTTATTATACTCCAAAATGGCAACTTTTTCACGCAACTTTTTACTTGGGCAAAATGACTTTCCAGAACGTTCTCAATTTTTTTGCAGATAGTGGAACCCAACAATTTCCAAAAATTGTCTCGATGATTCTTGCAAATTGATGGATTGTGGGACTTTTCAGTTAACTCCCGAAATATAACAAGAAGACAAGCCCACAGTCATAGCTGATTTCTCTAGTGATTTTTCGTGAACTATTTAATCGGATTTGGACGTATTTTTTTAATGTAGATTTTCCGGGAGCTTTCGATTCGCCTTTTATAGACTTACATTTCTTGTTGTATTTTGGAAATTATTCCATTTGTTATCTAAGAAAATTCTTCAGATTTTGAAAACAAATTCCACAGTCCGTCGATTTGCAAGAATCATCGGCGCAATTGTTGCAAAGGTTGTTTTAGGGTTCACCAACTGTAAAAAAAAATTGAGAACGCTCTGGGAGTCGTCCAGTGTGAAAGACAAAGCATCGTTTGTTTAACTTGTTCATTTAATTAATCAATGACTATGATACCTACGATGATCGGGTTTGTTATATTGTTTTGTCATCAAAAGAAGTGACCAAATATGGATTTTCAAAAAGATCGGATGAATTTTACTTAGTAAAAATAGACTGTAAATTTTCGGGATTCTTTTTCAATTTTTCCGTAAAACACAATATCATTGGGAAATTATCGTTTAATACCAACTGTGTCTTATAGAAAATTCGATTCCAAACAAATTCATTTCTCTTCATGTTTTCCCATAGAGCAATAGTTAACAGGATAATGGCAGTCAAATGCAAAAAAAAAACTACATTTTCCCATTATTTCTTCATTTTTTTGTTTATAAAAATATGTTCCGGCCTATCTGTTACAGTTTCCGAGATCCCCATTGCGGCCCTCGAATTTAAATCAGCCTGTATGTATATCTATAGTTTACCTACATTTTGTATTACTGTAAGATTGCATTTTTCATTTTTTAACGATAATAAAAATATCAGTAATGTGGCAAATTATTAAAAGTTTCGATTATTATTTAAGTACCACTGGAACTGCAAATAATTAAGTTCTTTGTGCCTAGTCGGCAGTTACCTACACATATTCCAAGGATGGGGCGGCAAAACCATCTTGCGGCTGGGTTCCCTAAATCCCGTAATCCGCTACTGGGTCGAAATTAAATGAAAGAGAAATGTTGCCTTCGTTTGAGAACAAAAGTCAATATTTTGCATCTTTTATAGAGGAAAACTAATGTAGTGTATGTGCAATACAGTGGGGGGAGGGTGGGTTGAACTCGTGGTGAGTTCTGGGTTAATTTGGAACTCAAGAACAATTTAATAGAGTTTTTGCCTGAATAATGTATAAATGTGACTTTGGAAAAAAAAATTTAAACCCCCGAAGGCGTAGCTAGAAATTGAAATATATGAACTAAATTTTTTTGTGGTTAAAAGTGAGGTCATACCTATCAGTTTTTTGCTGTGACAAATCAAAAATATGACTTTTGAAAAAAAAATTCTTTATAGTCCCGCGGGCGCGGCTAAAATTTCGGCCCGCTGTACAAAAATGTGTGCAATTGTCATGCAAGCAACTGCGCATTTTCACAAAAACTACCTGAACTTGACATCACATTTACAATCGGAAAATATGAAATAAATGTTTCAAAACCCACCATGGATGTTACCGTGTAACACAACTATAAATGATGTGTGACTGGCAAATATAGACCATAGGAGCCTTCAATTAGCGAAACCCGAAGTCTCTAGGTAGCCCAGGAGTCGAGATTTCGAAGAGACAGAAGGCCGACAGACACAGACAGACAGGCGACGGAAAACTGACCATATAAGCGTTACCGCTACGCTAAAAACATTCAAAAATTTAGTTATCTGCTCTTTAGAGATGTAGACAATATAAAGGACGATAAATGCAAATGACTGTGCCATTTTTGCTCTAATCATTTCTTTTTTGTGTTGTGTGAGATTTTGTTGTGTCATATGTTTGGTTAACTCCTCCTTTAGTAGAGGTAACCAAGTCATAGCGATTATGAAGTGCGCGTATATTTTCTGCAGAATCATTTTTGCTACCCTATTAATGTTTCATGACAAGCACTTTGGTAAGTTGTAAAAGCTACCCCTACCGTATTAGAATGTTTACGTTCAACAAATATGCGAAATCTCAACAGTTGAGTTGTTTAAGTTGAAATCAAGCCATCAAATGCGCAATTAGCGAAGTGAAAATGAAGAAATGGACATTTCAAACTTTAACTACTGTGATTATTACAAGTCTTAGAGGGTTCGCAAATACTTTATGCACAGATTTCGTATGCAAGCTTCATGCTTCTAATTCTACTCAATAAAGGTCTTTGTGAGCTTTTATGAGACCTCCTCTAGCAATACATCCATTGTCATGCATAATGTATAACTGCATCGTCGAAGTATAATTGGATTTCCATCGCACTGGTTTTGCAATAACTATAGCTTAAGACGTCTTGAGTTCTTGACTAGAACCATTAACAATTCTCGTCGCCTTATATTTATGTTCTACGTATCGGGGGCGACATTAATCTTTACGGGCGGATAAAAATCCGTTATGCCGATTCTTGGCGACATTGACGCGCGAGATTATCGTGGACTGATCCGGAAAAGATATTCTAATGTTGCATGGGAATGTGGAAAAAATCTCTTATCATTTATGCATATGTGT